TGTCTTGAAGAAATGTTTGCAGAAATTTAAAAGTATACATTGGATGCAGTTATAATCTGTCTGAATCTCTCTTGTGATTTTAATTGGACCTGTTAATTTTTCCTGTGGGTTATAGAGCTAGAGATTTCTGGGTTTGTGCCTAAATTTGTGTGTATATGGTTAAATGTGTTGTCTCCATATTAATTAACTGTGAAGTTGATCCTCCTAGTGTAACTTATTATAAGGGTTTTTCAGATTTATGTAGCATTGATTTTTTTTTTTTTTTAGCTACATAGCCTATGAATTCACTAGAATGACTGAGAATCAATAACTGTATATTTGTTTTACTTATTACATCACTTGCATGTTAATTGCTACTAAAAAAATTTCCAAATATGTTTTTACACTTTTAGTTTCTTAAAATTGTTTTATCTTTCCATTTGCTGGTTCTCATATTTTATTTGATTAAATGTTTTTTTTCTGCTTTTTTTTTTTTTTCTGGCAAGCATTCAATGTACTTAATGATAAAATGCTGAAATGATTGAGAATTTTTTGTGACAAAAATAAAGATATTGGCTGCCATTAGTTATATTTAACATTGCTTTAAGAATATGGGAATACGATCCAATGTAATGTGAGATAAAAAGTAATAAAGCATAGTTATTGGGAGATGTGGCAATAAAACATCACCATTTTGTTATAACTTTGCTTACCTTGATTTCTCAGGTGAAAAACAACATAAAACAAAACAATATAAATTGTAATAGCTCAGTATACAGAAATGTTTCTCAAAATGTGGTTTTTGAGACCACATTTCCTAGAGATTTGATTAGGTCAAAGCCATCTTATTAACAATTTTTATTATTGAGTGCCATTGAGTTGATTCTGACTCTAATTGTCTAATGAGTATGCACTGGAGTTTTCCAGAGGCTACATGGTAGGGTATTGCACCAGATTGAATGTACAAGTATATATAAGAATCTAAATGTTTTCTATTAAGCCAGATAGTAAAGAGATTTATAGACATATAAAAAAAAAACCTCTCTTCTCACTAAATATTTGTTTTGTAAAATGTAATTATTTTTTCATGAAAGTAGCTGATTTGTGTTAAAATACAATGTGTTTATATTTAGTTTTACATGATTTAATCAGTGATTACAATTATCATAAATTCTTAAAAATATAGTAAATATCACTAGTTACAATCTACATAAACAGAAGTTCTTTGAGGTCTTCAATAATTTTTAAGGGCATACAGATTTTGAAATCAAAAGTTTAAGAGTAGCTGATACAGCTAATAGAATATACATTTGTTTATATCACAATAATGTTGTTGTTGTTAGGTGTCATTGAGTCAGTACTGACTCATAGTGACCTTATACATAATAGCATGAAACACTGCCCAGCCCTGTGCCAACCTCACAATCACTGTTACACTTGAGCCCACTGCTGCTGCCCCTGTGCCAATCCATCTCATTGGAGGTCTTCCTCTTTATTGCTAACCCTCCACTGTACAAACCATGATGCCCTTCTCCAAGGAATGGTCCCCCCTGATAATGTGTCTGAAGTATGAGAGATGAGTCTGGCCATTCTGGCTTCTAAGGAGTATTCTGGCTGTACTTCTTCCAACACAGATTTGTGTTTTCTTTTGCCAGTCCATGCTATTTTTAATATGCTTCTCCAACAGTATAATGTATCAAATGTATCAATTCTGCTATAGTCTTCTTTATTTATTGTCCAATTTTCACATGCATGTGAGGTTATTGAAATGCCATGGCTTGGATCAGGTGAACTTTAGTCCTCAAACTGACATCCTTGCTCTTGAACACTTTAAAGAGGTCTTGTGCGGTAGCTCTGCTTAACACAGTACAGCATTTGATTACTTGACTGCTGCTCCCATGAGTATTGATGGCTGATCTGAGAAAAATTAAGTCTTTGACAAAGACTGCAATCATAATCAGATATAATTTTAAATGGGAGAAATACATTATTTGAGATAACCTTATAGACCTATATGAACTATATATATGGTACTTTGGATTATTAAAGAGGACTCAACAAATGGAGATTCATACCATATTCCTTCATGGAAAGTGTGACTATTAGAATGGTGTTCATTTTTTTGAATTAATTTATAGAGTTTACATATTTTCCACCAATGGAAATATATTAAATCCATTGAAATGAAACTTTCTGTAAAACCTAATTAAGTGGCAGCTTGGAGTCCTAGTGTGGTGCTGTATGATAAGCACTGGACTGCTAACTACAAATTTGGTAGTTGAAATCCGTGCACCTCTCTTTAGAAACATTATACAGGGTCACTATGAGTCAAAACCAACTTGACAGCAATTAACAGCAGCAACAATGGCAAAGAACAAAATGTTAAAGATGTATAATGAGCAGATAACTGCCTTACTTGGTAGTTTAGTTTATGTTAAGAGTCAGATACATAGATTTATTTATCTCAAAATTAGTTTCAGTATGTACTGTGCATATGTGTGTATATGAGGATTCATGTGTATTTAATAGACGGCAGGTGCTCACCCTCATTAACAATAAGGGATATAAAAATGTAAACAATGTATGTCAGTAAACCGGAAATGCTTAAAGTATTATAGGTAATATTATTGCTAAGTGTTTGTCAGTTATTGGGAGTGGAGCAATTATAAATTGATAATCACTCTCTTGGATAGCTATTTGCTACTTTACAGTGAGTGATTTAAAATATGTATCATTTTTAATGGGGTGATTTTATTTTTAGCAGTCTCTCCAGATGAAATAATCAGAAATGGGAAACAAACAAACAGTACTTCATAGTAAGACCCATTTATAATGACATAGGAGTCCTGGTTGTGGTGCTGTGGGTTAATGTGCCAGATTGCAAAGCAGTTTTAACTGCAAGGTTAGCAGTTCAAGCTCACCAGCTGCTCCATGGAAACCCTATACAGGGTTGCTATGGGTTGGAATCAGCTCGACAGCATTTAACAACAGCAACTTAAATATAAGGCAATACTTAAATAAATACTGTGATGACAAGGAAAAAGTACACATATTATGTAACAATAGAGTCTACAACATTGCATGAATTTCATTGATATGTAAAAAATACAACAAAATTCCAGGAGTAGATACCTTACTGCCATAACTAAGTATCTCTGTATTTTAGATTTATAGAAATTCTCTGGTAGCGTAGTGGTTACGAATCAGGCTGCAAGCCTCAAGGTCAGCAGTTCAAAACTACCAGCGGTTCTGTGGGAGAAAGATGAGGCGGTCTGCTCCCATAAAGATTTACAGCCTCGGAAACCCTGTGTAGGGTCGCTGTGAGTCGGAATCGACTCCATGTCACATAACAACAACATCAATTATGCTGCATTTGTTATCTGATGCAGTTGTAAAAGAAATTCCACAAGTGGATGGCTTTAACAAACAAATTGATTTTTTCACAATTAAGAGGCTGGACATCAGAATTTTGGGCATTGACTTTAGTGGAGGGCCTTTTTTCTCTCTTGGTTCTGGGGAAAGGTCCTTGTCTTTTCAGCTTGTATTCTTGTCCTTGTGGTGATCTTCATGTGGTATGGCGTGTGCCTTCCTCCATCTTTGCTTCTTTGCTTCCTTGCTTAAGCTACTCCTTTTCTAGCACAACAGAGATGGACGGAAACCACACCTTTCACTAGCACTGTCTCATTAACATAAGAAAGAAGAATCATTGTCCAATGGGAATATAGTCACAGGTATCTAGGATTACAATATATATTTTAGAAGACACAATTGAGTTGTCATAATAAAGCCTGTCTGTATTTTCCTGTTTTTACAATGTAAATAAATAATGTAAATAAAAATCTATGCAATTCAATGAGCTTTACACACAGATACTGAAGATTTAATTTATAGGTCAAAACAAACATAATAGTTTTGAAATGAGATTTTTATGTGATTTTCAACTCAGGATTGTCTGTCTTTCCACTTGACAGAAACTTCCTTGGGTAGTGCCTCCACTTTCAGAGTGTAGTTATTCACCACTTGCCAAGGAAGCACTTTACCTCTTGAGCTTTAATTTCCTTATCTATCAAATGAAGTTACTTCCAATAACAAAACTTGAATGTCATAAAAGATTTTGAAAATTCTGTTAAGAATATCTTTCCCTACAGTCTGTATCTCTCTTCTTTTGTACACATATCCTCCCCCTGTAACATATTATTTTTGTGTGTTTTGTGTTTCCCAACCTCCCTCTACCCAGCCAAAGTCTGATGATCTAATCCCCTTGGTAAAAGTGTATATTCCTCAAAGAAAATATTATAATGTTATCTTTCTGTCTATTTCCCAGACCATCTACGGCAGCCTCCAGATCCTGGTGGTTCCTAGATGCATATTATTAACTGATTGTCCTCTAGAGGTCTTATGATATCCTCAGCATCATAGAATATATTAAGAACTACAGTAGAGAACCTAATAATCTAAATGGACTGACTTAACCTTGATACTGAATTATTTTTTATCACCCTAGTCCATTAAAGTAGACTTTATTGATATGTGATCTTTACAGTTAGAGAAAACTCTAGTTTGGATGCATTTGTTTAAAACTTGAAATGATTAATACTTCCAAAATAGTTGTGTTTTTTTTTTTTTTTTTTTTTAGTGAAGTTACTGTTTTTATGTGAGTAAATGTAGTTTGTTATGTGAGATTTAACTTCGTGGTGCTAACTAGAGAGTAATTGTATATTTACTTGTTAATTCAAATAGATCAGTCAATATGTTAGCAGATGATGATATGAATGCATATTAGTACAGTACTGTAAGCTTTATGTGGATCCATTCATTGATATAAAATATAATTTTCTTGTAATTAGTTTACTCAATTCTTTGGTATCAAATTGGAATCTGTATTGTATCCTTAAAATGAAAAAGCTAAACTTTGGAACCAATTCTCTCTGCCTTGTCAGTGGTTTCTGGGGTGGAATAAATGCTGTTTAATGTTTCCGTGTGATTCATGCATACTGATAAATTTCTTTTTAAACTTGCAGCAAATAGTGGCAGCAATAAATGCAGGGATTATACCTTTAGGAAACACCTCCAATCAAATCAGTCACTGGGATTTGGGAAGTTCCTTCTTCTTTGCTGGCACAGTTATTACAACCATAGGTAGGAGACAACTTATTTTGTTTTTATTTTGGTAAAATTTGTGAGCTAAAATTCATTGATTTGATTTTTTTTTTTTTAACAGTTGATCAAAACGGTCTACTTAAGCTAGAAAACTAGATTTTAGTAAGTTGATTTTGAAGTGGGCTTTTTAAAGGTTTGAACAAAGGAATGATGGAAATGAATTTCTTATTGTTACAGAATACTTAATCAAATTTAAACTGTATATGAAACTCTGGAACAGTGTGATTGAGTTACTTGATTAATGACAGGAACGTCAATTAAAATGCTTTTGGGGGGATTTAAATTTTGTTGCGTCTTTGTAAGGATAACCAAGAAAGGGCTTGAGTACAATTTTAATATTCCTTTCATGACATTTTTATTTGATCTCACCTTTTGCAATTTGTAAATAATAACTATACATTTCAGCAGACTGTGCCTAGTTTTATATGCTTGTCTACCATGATTATTTCAGGACTTCCCTTTTTTGAACACTTTATTTTTCTAGTACAAATACATAAAAATATTAACACTGGAATGTGAGGATGAAAAGAAGGAATAAAAACTTAGCCCTTTTTGTCTTGTCTTTTAATCATATCATTTGCTATAAAATTAAAGAGGATCACTAGTGGGACACATGGCATCTTGGACAATGGTTAAGCTCTTGGTTGCTTACCAAAGTAAAGTGTTGGCGACTTGAACGTATCAGACGCTTAGTGGGAAAGAGATGTGACAGTCTGCTTCTGTAAAGATTGCAGTCTTGGAAACCCTATTGGGCAGTTCTACACTGTTTGATAGGGTCACTGTGAATTGGAGTTAGTTCAGTAACACACAACAACACTAACAGCAATGGAACATAGTCTCTTCTTTATACTTAACTCAGCATCTTCTAGGCAGCAGAATGGGTATGAGTAGATGTCCTCTGTTCTATCAGTTAGTCATTCAGTGCTCACAAACGCGCCAGAGGATATAAATTTATGCCCGTAGTTGAAGGCCACTTGCTGTGCTGTGTGGATTGGGAAGACACATATAACTGTACTAAGGAGGCCTGCTGGTGCATGGTAGTGCAGACTGCTAGTACTTGGCTGCTAAGTAAAAGGTTGGAAGTTCAAACCCACCCAGCAAATCTGAGGGAGAAAGAGCTGGCAATCTGCTACTATATAGATTGTTGTTATGTGCCGTGGAGTCGGTTCCGACTCATAGCGACCTTGTACAAGGTTTCCGAGGCTGTAAATCTTTATGGGAGCAGAAAACCTCCTCTTTCTCCCATAGAACAGCCGGTAGGTTTGAACTGCTGACCCTGAGATTAACAGCCTGATTCGTAACCACTACGCTAGAATACGCTATGGGGCAGTTATACTTTGTAATATGTGGTCACTATGAGTCAAAGTTGACTTTACAGCATCTGGCATCATCACCACCAACAACACAGATGCCCAGTTCCATGAAAGGCAGTGAGTTTAAAGCAATCCTTTTAAGAAAGGGAAGGGAATCAGCTCATCACTGTTAAGAAGGTATTTCAGGTGTCAGAAAGATTTGTGCAAAAGGGTCTTCTTCTCCAGATAAGCTCGGCATGAGATTTGCTTTCATGGGGTTAATTTCTGGTTATGGGACTAATAAACACTAATAAATTACGGTTGTAAAGTTTAACATTTTATTCTTTAATCTTTAACCTTATAAAATGTATAGTTTCACATCAGTACTGTATATCAAAGTCCTGAATAAGAGAGATGGACCATTTACAGAAGGAATAGCAATTGAAATTCTTCTTGTGGAAGGAATTTGTCGTGTCCTATCATTATATGATTTTGCTGTAGTGCTTCTTTGCACTGGGTCACTTGCCATTGAAATACCTTGGTTTGTTGATTTTGTCTCAGTTAAGAGGTCAAGGAACTATGTTTACTCTTATATTTCCATCAGTGAGGTCAAAAATTGTGTGGCTGTGAAAATTTGGAAGAATGGCAACCTTGATTTCTAACCATAATGACAGGTTAACTTTGGGGCTTAGACATCTTGGCCATTTCTACTATGGAAATAACTATTTATTATGTAAACTACTTAGAGTCTGGAACGGAAAAAAAAGCTCACAGACTGAGTGAAAATGGCTTGTTTCTGTCCAATGAAAACTCAAAAGTAAAAGTTATAACTCATCATGACCACCACTAAATTATTTTGCAAGAGACTCAGTCATTATACAGACTTACCATTGCATCGTATGTTTATAAACAGTCTCATTTTTTTTTTTTGAATCCCCCAATTCAGTAAGTTTTGCAGACATATACAGGAAAAAAAACTAAACCATTATTACCAGCTTTGCCCCAAATTATAGCCATTAAGCACAGTAGCTGATAATTTAGGTTGCTTAGGTAGCTGCCTGAAAGCTCAAATCTCTTACTGTTACATCTCTGACTTTAACCTAAGGTGGATTAAGCCATTCTGGGTCACCCACATACTTTTTACTCTGTGGTCTTTGACTCCTATTCCAAAGCCTTGTCCTTACTCTGGACTAGATCATGGCTTGGGACAGAGTAGAATATTTAGTCTCTTTCATAAATGTTTATCTGACATCTAAATCATTGTTCTATAAATCACAGAGTATAGTTATTAATATTACTACTAATAATAATTGTGGGAGCTTTGAAGTGGTTCTTAGCAATCAGAAATTGAAAGTTCCAGCACTAGCTGCAGTACATTAGTCATTTAAAAATAGAACTTGAGAGAGTTTTGGAAAAATAATTGCAGTGGCTTTTATAGGGTGTCTGGTACAGGCAGTGCTTCACGGAGCTGGACTGGTTGCATTTGTTCACAGTTTTTCTATTCAGTTTTATAGATTCGTCTATGAAGCCAAAATGACCTTTACATTCATTGGAAATAGTCCCAAGGTAAATGTGGTTAGACAAAATATCCATAATATTAAAATGTAAGGCCTAATGTCAGAGAATCTTTTCATGGACCTACCTACCCTGTCTTCCCCAGATCATATTCTGCATACCCTTCCCAAATTCCATTCTCCATTTGCACAAACTGAAACCCATCCTTGACCATTGCCTTTCTCTAGAATACCTACCTTGTAGTCCATCAGCCAAGGAACTCTGGTAGTGTAGTTCGGTTTCAAACTTCAAGGTCAGCAATTTGAATCTACCAGCTGCTCCATCAGAGACAGATGAGGCTTTCTGCCCCTGTAAAGATCTACAGCCTTGAAAATCTTATACAAGTTAGCTGTGACTCAGAACCGACTCAGCAGCACACAACCATCACCACTAATCTATCAGCCAATCCTGCTGGCTCTGCCTTTAAAATCTATCCAGAATTTAACTACTGTGCACTGTTCAAACTGCCAGCATTCTGATTCAAGCCAGCATCATTTGATGTCAGGAATATTTTATAGGTCTTCTACTCAGAACTCTGAGCAGAAATCAGCCAGAGCAAAGTCCATCTCTTGCCTCTCCTAGAAAGATGCACATTTAATTAGGTTTGAGGTTTTGCTATTTTCTCAGTGTCTGGCACATGGTGGTGGTGGTGTGTCGTGGAGTCGGTTCTACTCACAGCGACCCTGTATAGTGTTTCAGAGGCTGTAAATCTTTATGGGAACAGAAAGCCTCATCTTTCTTCTGTGGAATCACTGGTAGTTTCAAACTGCTGACCTTCTCGCTAGCAACTCAACTCATAACCACTATGCTATTGGTGCTTAATACAAATATATAATTAAAAATAAATAAACATTCTAAATGGCATGAACTATGGTTTATTAGAAATTAATAAAAACAAACAAACAAAAACCAATGCCATCGAGTCAAGTCTGACCCTAGATTGATACCTGTGATAAAAGGATGAGACAAAAGTTATGCATACTCTGACTGTAGGAATTATTTTAATCAACTTTTAGAAAAGAAAAATACATCATTTTTTAAAATATAATCTCCTTGCTTTTCAAAATACGGTGTCCATCTTTCAACAAGCTTTTGTATTCCTTTATTAAAAAAGGTTTTCGGCTAAGCTGTGAGCCACAAATGCACTGTTGTCTTCACTTCCTTGTCACAGGTGAATCTTCATCCTTGAAGGGCTGCTTTCAGGGGACCAAACAGTTGAAAGTTTGATGGAGTAATATTAGGACTACAGGGAGCGTGCTTTAAGACCTCAAAGTGAAGTTTTTGCAGTGTCAATAGTGTGGGCAGAGGTGTGGGTACATGCATTGTCATAGAAGATCACAGTGCCCTTGGATAGCAGTCCTCTGAAGTTTAGGCTTCAGTTCTTCAGTGAGCATTTCACTGTAATGAGCCCTGTTGATTGTTGAACCTTTTTCCCGATAGTATTCCAATAGTGGCCCTTGAGAATCCCAGAAAACTGTAAGTATCAATTTTCCAGCTGACGGTTGACTTTTGAGCTTTTTCTTGGTTAGGGATTGAAGATGTTGCCATTCCATACTCAGTCATTTGCTCTCAAGTTCGTAGTGATGAATCCATGTTTTGTCCCCAGTAGTGATGTTTTAAAAGAAACTTTTACCCTCCTTCATAGGTCCAAATTTTGTTTTCAGATATACAAATTCTTCTTTTTATGCTCTCTCGTGAGTTGTTTTGATACCTATCTTGCACGAACTCTTTGAAACCCAAGTCTGTCGTGGATTATTTCATAGACAGAGCCATGACTGATTTGCAAGTGATTTGCCACATAAACTACTGTCACTTATCTATTCAACAGAATCATTTCACATGCACGCTCAATGTTGTCATCAGCCATGGACATGGATGAGTGTTTTAATATAATGGGAGTGCAGATGATATTTGACTCACCCTCATACTAAATTCTTAGCTCTTTCAGCAGGTTGAATTACTAAATCTTTTTGTTTGCTCACTAATTTATTCACCAAATAATAAAACACTATAGATATACCTGACTCCTCGTGTGGTGCGTTAGGATAAGTACTGGATTGCAAACAACAAGGTGAGTGGTTCAAATCCATCAGCTGCTCCTTGGAAACCCTATAATACAGGGTCACTATGAGC